AAAAAATTGTCCAGTGAAAATATTATGAATAACAGTGAAACACTGTCTGATATAGTACTGGCAACCTTTATGAATAGCTCTGAAGCTTTGTCCAATATAGTGCTGGAAGATGAGCCCCTCGGGTCAGAGGGCACTCAAAATATGACTAGGAAAGAACTGCCTTCTCAAATTAGAGCCAATCTTAATGATGTGGATGGAGTAAAGCTTTCAGGATCTCCATTTGCTGATGTGGCATGACTCAAAATGAGAAGAAACAGCTGCAAACATCTATTAATAATTGGAACACGGAATGTATGAAGTATGAATCTAGGAAAATTGGAAGTTGTCAAAAATGAAATGAAATGCATAAATATCAATATCCTAGGCTTTAGTGAGCTGAAATTGACTGGTTTTGGCCATTTTGAATCAGGTAACCATATGATCTACTATGCTCAAGATGACAAATTGAACAGGAATGGCATGGCATTAATTATCATAAAGAATATTTCCAGATTTATCCTGAAGTACAATGCTATCAGTGATGGGATAATATCCATATGCATACAAGGAAGACCAGTTAATACTACTATTATTCAAACTTAAGCACTAACCATCAAAGTCAAGGATGAGAAAATTAAAGATTTTTACCAACTTCTGCAATATGAAATTGACCAAACATTCAATCAAGATGTGTTGATTATCTCACTTGTGATTGGAATGAAAAAGTTGGAAACAAAGATCACCAGTAGTTGGAAAATATGGCCTTAGTGATAGAAATAACACTGGTGATCACATCGTAGAATTTTGCAAGGCCAATGACTTATTCATTGCAAATATCTTTTTTCAACAACAAAAATGGCAGCTATACATGTGGACTTCACCAGATGGTGTACACAGGAATCAGATTGACTACATCTGTGGCAAAAGACAATGGAGAATCTCAGTATCTTCAGCGAAAACAAGACCAGGAGCTGATTGTGAAACAGACCATCAACTGCTCATATGCAAGTTCATGTTGAAGCTGAAGACAATTAAAACAAATGCACAAGAATCAAAATATGACCTTAATTATATTCTTCCTGAATTTAGAGACTATCTAAATAGATTTGACCCATTGAACACAGTGACCAAAACCCCTTGATGTGGGATGACATCAAGAACATCATCCATGAAGAAACTAGGTCATTAAAGAGACAGGAAAGAAGAAAAGACCAAAATGGATGTCAGAAGAGATTCTGAAACTTGCCCTTGAATGGAAAATAGCTAAAGCAAATGGAAGAAATGACAAGATAAAAGACATGAACAGAAGATTTCAAAGAGCAGCTTGAGAAGACAAAGTCAGTTATTATATAATGAAATGTGCGAAGACCTGGAATTAGAAAACCAAAAGGGAAGGACTATTGACTGATCCAGGAAACATCAAAAGAAGATGAAAGAATACACAGTAACGAAGTACCTAAGGCACTTGAATGATAACCAGAAAGCTGGCAGTTAGAACCCACCATTCACTCCTCAGAAGAAAGGTTGGGCAATCTACTTCTGTGGTGATACCACCTCAGAAACCCAAGGAGGGGTCGCTATGAGTCAGGTCTGACTCAATAATATACTAAAAAGAATTGGTTGAAGTTCATCCATTTCAGGAGGTGGCATATGATCAAGAAGCAATGGTATTGAAGGAAGAAGTTAAAGCTGCAGTGAAGGAACTGGTGGAGAACAAGTCTCCAGGAATTGATGGTATACCCACTGAGATGTTTCAATAAATGGATGCCACTCTAGAGGCACTCACTTGTCTATGCCAAGCAATTTAGAAGACAGCTACCTGCCCAACTGACTGGAAGAGATCCATATGTGTGCATCTAACCCAAGCCATGGTATTTTCAATCATCTCGTGTGCATGTGAGAGCTGGAGAATGAGTAAGGAAGATCGAAGAAAAGTCAATGCTTTTGAATTGTGGTGTTGGCAAAGAATGCTGAGAGTACCATGGACTACCAGGAGAACTAACAGATCTGTCCTGGAAGAAGTGCAGCCAGAATGCTCCTTGGAAGTGAGAATGGCCAGACTTTGTATCACCTACCTTGATCATATTGTCAGAAGGGACCATTCCCTGGAGAAGGATATCAAGCTTGGTAAAGTGGAGGGTCAATGAAAAAGAGGAAGGCCCTCAACGAGATGGATTGACATAGTGGCTGCAATAATGGTCTCTGGTATAGCAAGGATTGTGAGGCTGGCACAGAACTGGGCACTGTTTCATTCTGTTGCATATACAGTCACTTAGTCGGAGCTGACTCGATGGCACCTAAGAACAACAACAATATCAAAATATTTAATAGATTACTTTTGTTACATTTACTGACCTGAATAATAATAGATGATACCTTTATAGTGATGACTATATGGGAACACTTATAAGGCATCGTTATATACATGTATGTATTACATATACAACATACATATAAGTCTGGTAGTAAGTATATCTTCTAAATTTTCAACAATGAAAGTGCTAACTTTTATGGTAAAATAAAAAGCATTTAAGAAAAGAATTACAGAGATATAAGCATTGTCTGGGAGCTCTGGTAGCATAGTGGCTAAGGCACTTGACTGCTAACCAGAAGGCTGGCAGTTCAAACCCACCAGCCACTCCTCGGAAGGAAGATGGGGCAATCTACTTCCGTAGTGATACTGCCTCGGAAACCCAAGGAGGGGTCGCTATGAGTCGGGTCCGACTCGACGGCACACAACAACAACAACAAGCATTGTTTATTATTATAGAAGTAACTAGCGCTTAAGGCATTTGACTTCCATCTGGAAGGCTGGCAGTTCAAATCCACCTGTCACTCCTCGAAAGGAAGAGTGGACAGTCTACTTCCATAGAGACACCACCTCAGAAACCTAAGGAGGGATCACTATGAACTGGAACCAACTCAACAGCAGTGAATTTGGTTTGGTTTTGATAGCTCTGGTAGCATAGTGCCTAAGGCATTTGACTGCTAACCAGACTTGCAGTTCAAACCCAGTAGCCACTCCTTGGGAGGAAGGTTGGGCAATCTACTTCCATAGTGATACTGCCTTGCAAACCCAAGGAGGGGTCACTATGAGTCAGATTTGACTCAATGGCACTGGAAAGCTAAAAGTGGACTTTTTTTCATAAGCTGTTATTTATATTGGATTTTTTCCTGAGAACCTGTACTAATTTGATTTGAATAATAATAAGTGTCCATAAGAAATAACACTTGTCATTAACAAGATGGGGTTTTTCCCCCCATTTTTTTAACTCAACTTTGAATTGCAACAGTACAATACAAAGGAAACAAATCTTTTGGAATCTGTGGTTTAGCCAAACAAAAATTTTTTTTGTTTCACTACCGTACTATACATTTTACCAAAATATCTTAACAGCATAAAAAAGTGAATGCACACCTCTTTGGGGGGGCGGCGCAGGTGAAAGGTTTATGGTCATCACTGTAAGTGGGCTAGTTCATTGCCAGGAGCTCTGGTGGCATAGTGCCTAAGGCATTTGACTGCTAACCAGAGGGCTGATGGTTCAAACCCACCAGCTGCTCCTCAGAAGGAAGGTTGGGCAATCTACTTCCGTAGTGATACCACCTTAGAAACCCAAAGAGGAGTCACTATGAGTCGGACCAACTTGACGGGAATGTGTTTGTTAGTTCATTGACTATCATTTTTATGTTACATTAGTGAATTTTACATCCCATTTTATATATATATATATATATATATATATAAATCCTTGTTTGCTTTATTTCAAAATGTTTTCAATTATTTGTCATCAAGTAAAATTGCAAAGTGAGGATGACTTGAAGCACTTACTGATAAAGATTAAAGACTACAGTCTGCAGTATGGATTGTTGTTGTTGTTGTCAGGTGCTGTAGTGTCATCTCCAACTCATAGCAACCCTATGCACAGCAGAATGACACACTGCCTGGTCCTGTGCCAGCCTCACAATCCTTGCAGTATGGATTTCACCTCAGTATAAAGAAAACAAAAATCCTCACAACCGGACCAATATGCTGCATCATGATAAATGGAGAAAAGATTGAAGTTGTCAAATACTTCTTATTACTTAGTTCTACAATCAACATCAATGGAAGCAGCAGTCAAAACATCAAAAGACATATTGCATTGGGCAAATCAGTTGCAAAAGACCTCTTTCAAGTGCTGAAGAGCAAAGATATCTCCTTGAAGACTAAGATGAGCCTAACCCAAGCCATGGTGTTTTCAGTCGCCTCATATGCATGTAAGAGCTAGACAATGAATAAGGAAGACCGAAGAAGAGTTGATGCTTTTGAGTTGTGTTGGCAAAGAATGCTGAAAGTACCGTGGAATGCTAAAAGAATTAACAAATCTGTCCTGGAAGAAATGCAGTCAGAATGCTCCTTGGAAGCAAGGATGGCCAGACTTCTTCGCACCTACTTTGGTCATGTTGTCAGAAGGGACCATTCCCTGGAGAAAGATATTATTCTTGGCAAAGTGGAGGGTCAACGAAAAAGGGGAAGACCCTTGAGGAGATGGACTGACACAGTGGCTGCAATGATGGGGTCAGGTATAATAAGCAAGGATTGTGAGGCTGTCACAGGACTTGGCAGTGTTTTATTCTGTTGTACAAAAGGTTGCTATGAGATGGAGACAACTTGACACATAACAACAAAAAAACAACTAAATGGCAATGACTCTAGAAGTTAAGCCATGTTTATCTTTTTTATATCTCCATAAAATTAACTTCTATAGATTGTATGTGTTCCATTTCCTGTAAAGAGCCAGCTAGCAAATATTTTAGCCCTAATGGCCTATAAGGATCTCTGATACAACTAATCAACTCTATCACTATAGCTTAGGGATCATCTAGGTTAAATATCTAACTGATGGAATATGGAAATAAAATTTATGATATAGACTGCCACACACACAAAAAAAATTGTCTAAAAATGATCTCACAACTTTTGTAGGGTAGCTGGAGTGTGTACAACTTGGCTAACTTGGGTATATCTTTCCCTTTTGCAGATCTGTTCAACTCAATGGTCAAATTCTGAAGATGGTAGATGATCAAACCCTGCCAGCTTTGACAGAAAAACCCCTCCGCCCAGGAAGTTCACTGGGCTTGCCACCTTTCTCCTATGGGTTTTTTGTGATAAGAAATGCAAAAGTTGCTGCTTGCCTCTGAAAATGAAGGAATTAACGATGGCCTGAGATTGACATTTTCCAGTGTAAAAGAATAAAGCAAAACTCAAGATCTAAGAAGGCAAGAAGATACATGAAAATGTACTTACGGGAGCTTCAGAGACATTGGAACATTCTCAGTGCCAAATTTAGTACAGTATTTTTGTCTCTCTAAGTAGACTACTGCTGATAATAATAGTTAATAATCCCTTGTGGCAAACACTATGATTGGTACTGTGCATGTACTATTTTTATTTAAGGTTATTAAAAATATGTATAAATGTTACCAGTATGGCCAGGAGGCAAGTAAGTAAAGGACATATTATTAGTTTTAAGAAAGTGCTTAGTTTTTATTTTTGAAAACAGTTATTAGAAGGTTGTTGCACTCTTTCCTGCATATACTATTTCTTTGGTATCCCAATGGAAAAAGTTTATTGCCACAGTCTTCAACATGGTTATAACAGTGGACCTAAACAGAGAGCTGGAATGGAGTTGCTGCTTCTCTTCTCTCTGTTCTGTTTGTCCTTGTCAACAATAGTATGTGATATGACAGATGGTTAGATGCAATAGTATAAAAAATGATTAGTGAAAATTCAGAGCAAAGGGATTATGTAAACTTCAAATAAAATAAAAACAACTGGAAATTAAATTACTTTACCAATAGGAGGAAAGTTAGAAAACATTCAATTTAGTTTAACCAGTTATCAACATTTAATTTAAATTGACGTTTAATTCATGTTTTAGTTGGGAAGCATTTGGCTGTAAGTAACAGAAATCTCTAATTTGTAGAAGCTTAAATAATAAGGAAATATATAATTCTACATAACAAGAAGTTCAAGTAGGGTGGGCTCTGGTAGGTCAATATGTCACAAAAGACCCAAGTTCCTCCCATCTCTCTGTTCTACCATCTTTAGTGTTGACTTCATTCTAAGGCTGATAGCATGATGGCTATAGCTGTTTCAAGGACCCATTCATACCTGGCAGCAGTCAGAGAAAGAAGATGGACAATTTTTCTGTGTCTACTTCATAGACCTGAAGATGCCTTTTTCAGAGATTTTCCCATGTCTTTTCACATCTTCTTGGTCAAGAGTTGGTTGCATGGCCATCCTTCCCCCCAATTACTGAGATTCCTATTATTGTCTCAAAATAATCCTCTGGAGTGGTATGGATGTTGGGTCATCTACAATAACAACAACAACAATAATAATCAGCACAATATTTCTGTGCTTATTATCAGTGATATAATTATTTTCCTCTTTATCATAATTTTTAGAAATATCCTCTTTATATTTATGCTTGCTATAAATATTGTCTCAACTAAATTTAAAGTATATTTATAAGGAGCTAACACTGGAACTTATAGTTTGGATGCTTCAATACCCTTACATTTTATATACAAGTCGTTTTATATTTTCACATTTGAAATAAAGTAATTTTATAACCTTTATATTGCATAATTATTCTTTTAATAAAACTAAGCCTACAGATTCCTACCTTTGGAAAAGTCTGGTTTTCCTTTGCCTCTTTCTTTACATCTCCTGCATCTATTTGTTTGTTCTCTCAACACCAAGAGTTGACCTTGAAGAAAAAAGATCAGGCACATAATTTCTTCATCGTGTACATTCAATCATGATCTAAGTCTTGTCTATTTTCCTCTTTCCTATCTCTTCTTCCACTTAATAAATCCAAGGCCTAATTTCTCACTTGTATTCTTACATTAATCTCCTAATTGTTCACCTTGACTGTGCTTGTTGTTGTTGTTGTTTTGTGCCGTCAAGTCAGACCCGACTCATAGCGACCCCTCCTTGGGTTTCCGAGGCAGTATCACTACGGAAGTAGATTGCCCCATCTTCCTTCCGAGGAGTGGCTGGTGGGTTTGAACCGCCAGCCTTCTGGTTAGCAGTCAAGTGCCTTAGCCACTATGCTACCAGAGCTCCCTTGACTGTGCTTACAATTTTTTAAATGGCTCCCTATTTCTCATGGGCACATGATGTCCTCCATAAACTGGCACTGCCATATTTCTTCAGTTTCAAATCTTGTCACTCACTCCATGAGCTCTATTCTCCAACCACAGGTCAACTGAGAAGTCTGAACACACTTCATCATGCTCCTGTATCTCTTATGATGTTCCCTCCACTCCTTGCCTGTTGTTGTTGTTGTTTGCCGTCAAGTTGGACCCGACTCATAGTGACCCCTCCTGGGGTTTCCGAGGCAGTATCACTAGGAAAGTAGATTGCCCAACCTTCCTTCCGAGGAGTGGCTGGTGAGTTTGAACCTCCAGCCTTCTGGTTAGCAGTCAAGTGCCTTAGGCACTATACTACCAGAGCTCCCCCTACTCCCTGCCTAGACTTATCCTTTTAACTCTGCTCTCCACCTGGCAAACTTTCAGCCCCAGCTCAAATATCAGATGTTTTATACATATCTTTTTATTGTTGCTGTATTTTTTATTCTGGTAAATATATGTATTACAAAACAATTGCCATTTCAACATTCTGCACATGTACAATTCTGTGACATTATGTTTATTATGTTGTTTAACCATCACCATTATCTGTTTCCACATTTTTCCATCACCTTTAACAGAATCGCAGTGTTCCCTAAGCAATTATTCCCCTTTTCCCCTTTCTCCTTTCCTCTCTTGGTAACTACTAATAAACTTTGATTTACATATACTTACTTTTTCTAGATGTTTCCTATAAGTAGAGTCATCCAATATTTGTTCTTTAAATCTGACTTATTTCATTCATCAGAGTGTTTTCAAGGTTTATCCATATTACAGCATGCATAAGGCCATAATTTCTCTTTATGGCTGAGTAATATTCCACTAGATGGATACACCACATTTTGGTTATCCACTCCTCTGTTGATGGTTGGACATTTAGGTTGTTTCCACCTTCTGATTATTGTCAATAGTGCTGCAATGAATACTGGTGTACATGTATCTACTTAAGTTCCTGCTTTCAATTCTTTGGGATCTTAAGAGTGGAATTGCTACATCATATAGTAATTCTATGTTTAACTATTTGGAGAACCATCAAACTGTTTTCCACAGCAGTTGTACCATTTTACAATCCCACTAGCAATAGATGAGGTTTCTGATTTCTCCATATTACTTGCCAACACCTGAGTCTTCCATTTTTTAAATCATAGCCATCATAGCAGATGTGATGTGGTTGTGGTTTTGATTTGCACATTTTTCCCTAATGGCTAATGATGTTTAGCATCTTTTCTTTTTTTCTTTTTTTTTTTTAATTGTGCTTTGGATGCAAATTTACAAAGCAGTTTTGTTTTATATTCAAGAGTTCATGCACATTTGATTCCACAGCCCTAATTACAATCCCCAACCATAAAAACTCTCCTCCCTTGTCCCTACGACTACCCACTCCCTGTGCCCTTCCCATCCATGCATTCCTGTCTGTCCAGCTTTCCTCCGATGTGAATGCTACCCTTCTGATATCTCATGGCTGATTGATCCAAGGAGTGCATCTCCCTAGAGTAGGGTGCATCTCCTTAGTGTGGTGTGTGTATCTCCTTGAGGTAGGTATTCTGCACGTAGGCCTTTCTATTGTTGGGCTGAGAGCCAATCCACGGAAGTGAGTCAATTTCCAGACCTGAAGGATAACCTGAGTCCATAGTCTTGGGGGTTCCACCAGTGTCTATCCAGCCAATATATTTTTGTGTTTTTGAATTTTGTTCCACATTTTCCCTCCCACTCTAACCAGTATCTCCAATTTTGATTGCTTTCTGAGTGGCTGGCATTGGTAGCCAGGCACCATATCTTCGGACTAATTGTTTCCAAATGACTTTGATTTTCTTCACACTTCTTTGCTCCAAGTGAGAGGAGACCAATAGTTGCATCTCAGATGGCCACTCAAAAGCTTTTAAGACCCCAGTTGCTACTCACCAAAGTAGGATGTAGAACAAGATTTTTATGTACTATGTTATGCCAATTGAGCATGATGTCCACCAAGACCATGGTCCCAAGCATGCAGGTCTGGTGATTAACTCTCTAAAGGTATTTGGTTATCTCTGAGAAGCTAGCCTTGTTCTCTGTTACTTCTGTAATATATGTGGATAATTAGCACAAGTACATATGTAAGATTATCTTCAGCCAAATCTATCCAGGGTCTTGGATATATTCCTATTTGCCTACCCCCACCTGATCTTCTCACCTGTCTATGCATTTACACATTGCCTAGTGTTTGGTGTCACTGGTAGTGCAGTATTGTGCATGTAATAGTATTTGGCTCTGTTACCTATATCTTTTGTGCATGTTTCTGTGTCCTTCCTTTCCCCATTGTCACCATACTGGTCACAGACTCTTTCCATATCACCCTTCCCCTCACCCAAATCAACATGTGGCCCCCCAACTAGTCTTAAATTTTCCCTCTCCCCTACCCATCCCTGGTAACCAACAAAGTGAATTTCCTTCCCTTTGCTTGACTTTTTACAATAATGACCTCATACAATATTTGTCCTTGACTTATTTCATTCAGCGTAATGTTCTCCAATTTCATACACATTGTAAGATGATTCATGTATTCTTTATTATTCTTTAGTGTTGCTTGGTATTCTGTTGTGTGAATGTACCATAGTTTGGTTATCCATTCATCTGTTGATGGGCATTTAGGTCGTTTCCATCTCTTTGCTATAATGAATTGTGCTGTGATGAAGATGAGTGTGCATATGTCTATTTGTGTCCTGTCTCTCACTTCTTTAGGGTATGTTCCTAGTAATGGAATTGCTGGATCAAATGGTATTTCTGTTTTTACTTTTTTAAGGAAATAGTATACCATTTTCCACAGTGGCTGTACCATTTTGCAGTCCCACCAACAGTGTATCTAAGTTCCAATCTCTCCGCACCCTTGCCAGCATTTATTTTCTGTTTTGTTGAACTTTGCTGTTACTGCAGGGATGAGAGGATATCTCATTGTTATTTTGATTTGCATCTCTCTAATAGCTAGTGATTGTGAGCATTTCCTCATGTGTTTCTTGGCCACCTAT